ATGTGTCCCCTCTGTGGAAAGAGACTCTGAAAGTTTCAGGAACAAAGATTCTCTCTCTTTTTGTCCTGATCCATTTCTATAAAAACCTGTCTTTCATTTTATTAAAGCATTTTGATTCACTTTGTGTTGAAAGATATATATATATATAAACTTGCCTTGCCCTCTTTTCCCCCAGGTGTTCTTCGTGATCCGGCTGATCGCAGCCCCCATGTCGAACTCCCTGCCCCCCATCACTGACCCCGACCCCCTGATGGCCTGCGACCTGATGGACGGCCGCGATGCTTTCCTCACGTTGGCGCGGGACAAACACCTGGAGTTCAGCTCGCTGCGTAGGTCCATGTGGAGCTCCATGTGCATGCTGGTGGAGCTGCACAACCAGAGCCAGGACCGCTTCGTATACACCTGCAACGAGTGCAAACACCACGTGGAAACACGCTTCCACTGCACCGTCTGCGAGGTCAGTTTGGGAAAGGTAGCTTGGCTGGGTCTTAATTTCAGGGTTGAACATAAGGGGTAGAAGCACCATTCATAACTTTGCTAATATACTGGATATTTGTAATCTGTAATAACAACTAATACCAAAAATAAATGTTGGATGTTTTCTAGATGTGTTATGTTAACATCCTTCAGATCACTAACCTTTCCTCTCCCATGTCTTTCCCCTCAGGACTACGACCTGTGCATCACCTGCTACAACACGAAGGGCCACGTGCACAAGATGGAGAAGTTGGGCCTGGGTCTGGACGACGAGAGCAGCAACTCGTCAGCCGCAGCGACTCAGAGCCCCGGAGACTCACGGCGCCTCAGCATCCAGCGCTGCATCCAGTCCCTGGTCCACGCCTGCCAGTGCCGCAACGCCAACTGCTCGCTGCCGTCCTGCCAGAAGATGAAGCGCGTGGTGCAGCACACCAAGGGCTGCAAGAGGAAAACCAACGGCGGCTGTCCAATCTGCAAACAGCTCATCGCGCTCTGCTGCTACCACGCCAAACACTGCCAGGAGAACAAGTGTCCGGTTCCCTTCTGTCTCAACATCAAGCACAAGCTCCGCCAGCAGCAGCTTCAGCACCGGCTCCAGCAGGCGCAGATGTTGAGGAGGAGGATGGCCAGCATGCAGAGGGTCGGACAGTCTGGAGGAGGAGGGGGAGGAGGAGCTCCAGGAGGAAATGGATTACCTTCTCCCAGTGCAAACAACGGATCAACAGCGCCTGGAACACCGACCTCTGTGGGGGGAACGCAGCCGCCCACCCCTCAGACACCGACACATGGGAACATGCCCGCTCTCCCCCAGCAGCAGGGAGGCATGGGGGGGATGGGAGCCATGGGAGGCATGGGAGGAATGGGGCAGCAACAAGGTGGTCCTCAGCATCACCTCCATCAGTATCAGCCTGTGGGAGTTGGAGGGGGGATGATGAACTCCCCTCAGCAGCAAATGGTGCCTCAAATCCAGGCTCCAAACGTCCAGCAGCACCAGGGGGTTCTTCCTCCGTACAACCCCAGACCCGCAGGAGCGTCACCTTTACACCAGTCTCTAGGAAAACCAGGATCCACCCCTCCCCAGCAACAGCAGCAACAACAACAACAACAGCAAGCCATCATGCCGGGGCAGAACCAGCAGCAGGGGCCCCCTCTGGCTGCTGTGGAGACGGCGCTGAAGATCCAGCGGCTCGCAGAGACCCAAAGACAGATGGCTCAGGCTCAGGCTCAGGCTCAGGCTCAGATACGAGGCATGGGCCAGGGGGGGGGTCTGATGCCCCAACACCCCCACCACCAGACCCCCCAGGTTCAGATGGGCATGCCCCCCCACATTGGGGCACAGGGCATGCCCCCCCAGAATCAGGGAGTCGTCGGCAGGACTATGTTAGAGCAGCAGGGCATGTTAGCGGGGCTTCAGCAGCAGCAGCAGGGCGGCCCCCCCCAGACTCAGCTGCTGCCTCATCAGGTGCAGCAGCAGGGAGGGGCGCAGCAGCAGTGGGGGGGGGGCGCACCTCCCAACATGAGCCCCCAGCAGAGGATGATGGGTCACATGCAGCAGCAGCAGGCAGGAATCCCTCAGCAGGCCATGAATCAGCAGCAAGGGGCTCGAGGGCTGATGCAGGTGATGGGGGGAGCTGCGGGGCTCTCGGGGGTCTCAGCAGGGGTCCAGAACTCGATAGTAGCGGCGGCGGCGTCAGGAAACCTCCCCCAGGCTGCGCTGCAGGATCTCCTGAGGACCCTGCGCTCCCCAAGCTCCCCTCTCCAACAGCAGCAGGTGCTCAACATCCTGCGCTCAAACCCAACCCTCATGGCCGCTTTCATCCGTCAGAGAGCAGCCAGGTACCAGGGGGGTCCTGGGGGGGGCCCCGGTGGGGGGGGCCTCCACAGGGGGTTCCACCACAGCAGGGGGCTCCTGGGGGAGGGGCGAGGTTCCCTGGAGTCCTGCCCGGTGTGGGAGTGGATGGGCAGCAGCAGCAGGTTAGCGTGAACCAGGCGGGGGTTAACATGGCTCAGGGGGGGGCAGCTGCAGGGGGGAATATGCCCACCATGGCTCAGCTTCAGCAGCTACAGCAGCAGCAGCAGCAGCAGCAGCAGCAGCACAGCAACAGCAACAACAACAACAACAACAACAACAACAACAACAGCAGCAGCAGCAGCAGCAGCAGCAACAACGCCCCATGCTACCTGGGAAGCTACAGCAACAGCAAATGGCTGCATTACAGCAGCAACAGCAACAACAACAACAGCAACAGGGAGCTGTGATGCAACCACAACAACCAGGGCAACCGGGAAACATCGGCAACATGAATCCACAGTTCAGAGAGCTGCTGATGAGGAGGCAACTTCTTCAACAACAGCAACAGCAACAACAGCAACAGCAACAACAGCAACAGCAACAACAGCTACAACAACAACAACAACAGCAACAGATGGGGAACCACGGGCAGTTCCAGCCTCAGCAGGGCCAGCAGGGCTTCATGCAGCCGGGCTCAGGTCTGCCCCCCCCCTCTGCTGCACCACAGCCTGGAGGTGGAGCCCCCGCCCCCCCCCAGCAGCAGGGTGGGGGGGCCACAGTGCCCAGCCCACAGCAGCAGAGCTACACTAACAACATGTCTCAGGTTGCTGCGGCGATCCAGCAGCGGCTCCAGCACCAGATGCAGCTTCAACAACAACAACAACAACAACAACAGCAGCAGCAGCAGAACTCAATGAGTCAGGATGGAGGTGGAGGTCAAAGTGGAGTTTCAGGTGGAGGACAGACCACCCAGAGCATGCTCCACCAGAACATCCACCAGAGGCTCCTCCAGCAGCAGCAGCAGCAGCAGCATCTCAGCGGGGGGTCTCCGGGGCAACACAGCAGCCCAATGAGCCCACAACAACAACAACAGATGGTTCAGTCTCCGCGGCCCCACCTTCAGGCTCAGGGCGGTTTGGGTGCAGCGGTTCGATCTCCGCAACCGTCGCCGAGGCCTCAATCGCAACCGCCTCGATCCAGCCCGTCCCCCCGCATGCAGCCGGCGTCATCGCAACCGCAACCCCCGCAACCGTCGCCGCATCGCAACCCCCCGCAAACAGGCTCCTCCCCTCATCTCATCGCGCAGCATCATCAAAACATGGCGCCGCCGCAGAATCCCCCGCTTCCTCCAGATCAGTTCAGCTCGGAGCAGAACAACATCATGTCTCAACTGAGCGGGATGACGGGGATGCAGTCGGACATGTTAGGGGGAAACAACAACAATAATAATAATAACAATAACCCGGATCTGCAGACGACGAACATTAACCACAACAGTTTGGATCTGATGTAGCCTCGTCGCTCTCCGTCTCTGATTTTTAAAGAAACTGCCGCGATATGGAGAGCGAGGCGGGACTTTTTTTTTTGTTGAAGTTTTTATTTTTTATTTAAATATTTTTGTGATGTATAATAAATAAGAACTGCCTTCCTATGGGAGATAAATCTTTAGAAGTCAATAAATGAATAAATTAAAAACAATGGTAAGTTATTGCTGTTAATATATATCTATATATATTTTTGCCAATTTTGTACAAAGGGGGGGGGGCAGTGTTTTCAGGTTGAAGATATTTCTTCCTTATTAAGTCGATATTTTTGGGGATTTTTTGCCTTTTTATGAATATTTTTAAGATTTTAAATGTGGCGAAGAATTAAAAGTGAGTGACACGATGTACCTTTTTTTTCCCCCCTTCCTCAAATACCCATAATTGTATTTTGCAGAGTATATTTTATTTCTGAATTTATTATTATGTTTCCTCCCTTCTCGATGACATATCTTCTGTTACAGAAATCCTTATTATGTACGACACACATATAGACTTTATTTTATATGATAAAGGGAGGGGAGTTAGATGCGTTTTGTTTCAGGGTTTATAAATTAGAAACCTCAGCAGTGTTTTTTGGGGGGTGGTATTTTTCTGCAAACAAATCCTCCTCGCACCACTTTCTCCTCTGAATGTCCCTTTTCTCCTGAAAGGGAGGAGGAGCCCCTGTTTTAAAGCTGGACGACGTTTATGTACATATATATTTACAGCCTTGTTTATAAACTGTGACATGGAGAAGCCTGCCTGTACCCTCACAAACAGTTCCCCTTCTTTACATCCCCGCTAATTCAATGTTGTACAGAAAATGGTGGACTTAGATACTGTTTTTGTAATGAAAGTGAAATTGAAATGTAAAAAAAATACACGCCTGTACATACTTTTAAAAGCCGTATAAGCAGAGGGATTATTTTTCTGCTGCTTGTCCCCCCCTTTCTTGTTTGGATATTTGCTGTATCTGTATAAAAACACAAAAACTCCTGAGCTACTGTACAGCATTGAGATGATTTTGTAAGCAGGTACA